TTTTTTTTTTAATCCCTTACATTTTAAATGAAGTATTAGGGAAAGAGTTGATTCTGTTCTGAGAACTAACTGGGACGGCATTTGGCAGTGGTAAGCACTGCGTGTCAGATGCACTTACTACTGCCTTTGGCCTTTGGATGAGCATTCCTGGGTGCAGGCAGGCAGGCGGGCAAATCAATCCCCCTGCCTCCAGACCCACCCTTTCCTAATTCATCCTCACCTGCTTGCAACAGGGTGAAAGGATCCTTAAACTTGCTGAAATATGTAGGAAATTTGAAACGGAGGAAGAGAAAGTGCTGCCTTTCTACTCATCAGTCCTGACTCCTGAGGAGCAGGAGTTTGAGATGCAGGATGGAGGTGAAGAGCCCACCAGAGAGCTTGCAGAGGTAGGGGCTGGGGGGGGCGGCGGGCCAGGGAGGGGGCGGTGGCAGCCCTTGTGTGAGGGTCTGCTGCGCACCTTCTCTGTGCCAACCCTAGGTGATGGCAGACTACAGAGGGATGGAGAATTTCTGGAAAAGGTACAACAAAGTGAAACTGGAGCAACTGAGCCTGCAGCACAGGCGGACTCAGCTGCTGGACATCAACAGGAAGCTGCGGGAGCTGCTCAAGCAGTACTTGGATGGCATCTCAGTGAGTGATGAGGTGCTGAGCCAGCTCAACCCGCTGTTCATAGTCAATCACCGGAGCAACCTGCCTCAGCCCCTGCCTGCACCTGTGGCCCCGCCAGGCAGCAGGGGGCCTCCAACTGCTCATAACATCATCGAAGCAGCCCATATCATCTCTCACACCCTGTAACACAAGCCAGAAATCTCTTTCCAATCCCAAGATTTTGGGGTTTTTTTTGGGAGACCTGAGTGCTTGCTATTAAAAACTTAAACAGAATTTGTAGTTCCTTATACTTGTGCCTCATTAAACAGAATAGTCTCTTCGGAGGACCCGAGGAATACCGCAGCCCCAGGGAGCGCTAAGAACAGCCCACCGGGCTCATGCTTGGCGAAACACGACTGCATGGTGTAGTGGCAACACGAGGACCTAGAAATCCTGTGGGCAGACAGCAGGCCAGGCCCTTGAGGGAGACAGGACAGCAAGGGGAGGCTTGGGGAAAGGGTGGCCCAGGCCTCCAACCTCACCCCAGGCAAGACCCATATCCAGAAAGCCTTTTCTCTGAGCTCTGCACCTTATTTCCACTTACAAAGATATAAACTCAGAAAAAGTATCAGGTGAGAATGCAGAGAGGGTTTTTTTTCTTTTTAATTACTATTTATTATTTCTTTTTACTCTTGTTTCGTTTCTCTTCCTTGAGCTTCTTTTTGGAGACTTTAGGTTGGCTGGCTTTTCTGTATAGGTGATACCCAATGAGGCCCAGGAGTGCTGGCACCATGGCTATGCCTACGAGAGGCAAAACACCCTTCACCAGCTTTTGCCAGTAATTGGCCCGGATCAGTGCAATCAGCTCCACGTCATACTGCACCACTGCATCCGCTGGAGAAGCATTGGGGGGGGGGCAGTTAGGATCTTTGTGCATTTTATGTGAACGAAAGCAGGGAAGGTAGGCCACAGCCCCGTGAACTGTGAAGCTGTGGTGTGAACACGCACAATAAAGGCAAAGGAGGGTTATGAGCAGTCTAGTGACAGCTAACCCAATTACACAGGGGCTTGGGTTCAATGACAGGTCTCTGACACACAGCAAAGGGCAGAAATAGGAGACATGCAGGTGGTTCTCCACTTTCAAATGAAAGAAACCTCTTACTAGCTAAACCCCATTTCCAAACAGCTACATGGATAGGATTTTTGCAGGACTGAAATTAAACAAGACATCTTTTACATTCCAATAACCAATGAGCGCACACTGTGATTATTAGAAAACAGGTATTTTGCCAGGTATGGTGGCACATGCTTATAAGCCCAGCACTTGGGAGGCTGAGGCAGGAGGATTGCTGTGAGTTTGAGGCCAGCCTGAACTGCCTGGTAAAAAGCTGACTCAAAAACAAGCAAAACCAGGTTTTTTGACATTAGAGCTAGAGAAAAAAAACACATGATTGAAGAAGTAAAGGGGCCTATATAACAGAAGGCACTAGAAAGAGAAGTACAAACAGAGGCAAACAGCTGGGCATGGTGATGGGCATCTGTATTTCCAGCACTCAGAAGGTCGTGAATCGTCCAAAAAGGCCAGCCTGGGCTACACAGTGAGTTCAAGACCAGTCTAAACTACATAGTCGGATCCTGTCTAAAAAAATCAAACACTATGGACTTAGCATTCAAAGGTTGCTTATTTCTCTTGTTCGAGACCCTAGGCTGCGCTGCAGGAGGGACAGCACAGGCGGCAGTCCCACATGGCTCAGGCAGCTTCTTCCTCAAGAGCTGCCCTTGGTCTAGGTTAAGCCAGGAACTTTCACAGATGATACATACGTGATTCTACTGGTGATTCTCAGAGAAAAAAGTGGCCCTGCAGAAGGAGACCCCAGCTACTGCTCTTCCTTTTAGCAAGCCCTTGCGAGCCAGAAGGGAGTTATAGTTCCCTATAGTTCTCAGCGACTAGGTTTTTTGGCGGCCTAAGAGAAAAGCCTCATCAGATTACCTGGGATGGATGGCGGAAATCCTCGTTTTCCATAGGCCAAGTGAGAAGGGATGACTGCCCTTCGCTTCTCTCTGAGGAAATGAATGTATATTACAGCCAGAGGCAGTGGCCAGCTGCTCCATGGCAAAGCCCTGAACGTGACTGCTCCCACCTGAGGACCCATGGTTGGTCAGTAAAGGTGTCCTTCTCCCCAGGCTTAACTTCTCAACAAAACCAACAACCAGAGAGGCGCCCTCTGGTCGCACTGATCTGGACCCCTCAGCTCCAAGCTGGGGCACTTTACCCCACACTACCCTGCCTTCTGGGAGCGCAGGGACAGCGGAGAAATCTTTGCCTAGGCAAAGGGTACCCTGCCCGGCCTGGCCCGGCCCAGATACTCACCCGACGCACATGTCTAGAAGGCTCTGCTCCAGACCTTGGGAAAGAAGACAAGGCTGAACCGCGAGCTGCCCGCCTTCCCCAGATTCTCAGGAGGAAGATCCACGATGTTATCCTGAACATCATTTGAGCTTTGCCCAGCTGCTCAAATTCCTGGCATCCAGGGGGCTTTGGGGCAGAACCATCCCTGGGGTCTTACTCATCCCAGAGAGCATTTCCGGGGTAGCTTTTGGGTTAAGGTTGGAAAAAGCAGAATAAAGGGAGGTCACATACCTGGGATCACCTGCTTCTGGCCAAGTTCTATAACCAGAGGGTCTCTGCTCAGAGAGGTGTCAATGATGCGTCCGTCCGCCAAGCTGCCCTGGGGAGGGCAGCACCTCGCAGTCGGAAGCCGCTCCCTGCAGCCGCCGGGACCACACACCCGAGCAGACCGACGCTCTGGAGGACCCCACTCGCCCCGCCGCCGCCGCCGCCGGGAGAAGCAGCCTGCCGGGCTGGCACGGCTCGGCAGGAAGCGCCCGCCCGGGAGCCCGGCGTGCGGAGGGGGTGGTGGCGCGGGCGGGCAGCGAAGCGGGGCCAGGTGCCGAGGGGCCCCCTCCCCCGCCCGGGCTGCTGCCACGTGTCCAGCTGACGCGCTTCCCAGCCGCGCTTAGTCTCACCGTGTAGTGGACATGCAGCGTGTCTCCGAGGGCGGCGGTCTCCGCGCACTGCTCGGGGGGCGCCACCTGCGGCCGGGCCGCGAGGGTCACCGACGCGTCCTGAGCCTCACAGACCTCCCCCAGCCCCGGCCCCATCGCACCTCTGAACCCCGCCCAGTCCCGCTGCAGCCGGAGCCGAGACCGCTCCTCACCAGGGTCTCCACTTGGAGGGTCCGGACGGGACTTTCGGTTTCGGAGCCCGCCGCGGAGCGACACAGCGCCCCACTGAGCAGCAGGAGCAGCAGGCAGAGCAGCTGGGCGGTGGGCTGCAGGGCCATGACTGGACCGGCGGGACCCCTCTGTGGACAGGCCGGACGGGACTGACCGGGCGGGTCATGGTGGTGGGCTCCTCCTCCGCAGCCTTTGCTCCACCTTGTCCCCACCTCCTCGTGGGAGGCGGCCGCAGGAGCCCTCCCTACCGGCCGGCAACCAGAGGCCAAGGATTGACTGGTCGGTCTGCGGTTGGTTCTGGGCTGCGGGAGGGCCGCCCAGGAAAAGCTGCGCGCGCGTACCTCCTGCGGCCTTGAAACTACCCCGAAAGCGAGGCACAGCGGAGCTCATTTTACAGCCAAGGAACTGAGAAGTGTGCGCCAAGTTGCTTGTCCAACAGCATCAAGGGGGTGGCCGCAGGCGCAGGATTCAAACCCAGCTCTGCGAGTCCAGAATATTTCCTCCACAACGGTCTCTCCACACCACGCTGGCAGGGTCTGGACTGCCTACAACTTTATTTTAGGACAGGGTGTACAGGGTCTCACTGCGTTGATCAGACTTGTAATGATCCTGTTTACAGCCTCCCAACTGCTGGGATTACAGGCGCGCGTCACTGTGCTCAGTCTCAATCCAAATCGGGTCTCAGCAGTCAGAGGGGCAGGGCTGTCACAGCAGGCCAGGGGATGGAACTTCGGCCCTCGCGTTTGCCTAAGCAGGTGTTTTACTCCACTGAGCTTTTTGGCCGGCCTAAAGTATCTTTTTTCGAGAACCCCCCACCCCAAGGCGCCCATGCTAGACTTGCGGCTCACCACACAGTCACATCCTTTGTTGTCAACAGGTCCTTGCTATGTAGCCCAGGCTGACTTCGAACTCCCAAGCCTCCCTCCAGCCTCTGGAGTGCTGAGATTATAGGCACACCCCCCAAACCCAGATCACACTCAGGCACGTGTGTGCATATGCATGTGGGGGGGATGAGGATGGAGCCCATTACTGAGCTACATTTTTGATAAATTGACACACTGTCCAGCCTAGGCTGAAACTCAGTCTCCCTGCCTTGGTCTCCCGAGTAGGAGAGAGCCACACTGCATGACCCATAAGACCATCTCTTAACTGACAAACTACCAGCGCTTGGGATGCTGAGGTAAGACAAGGCTAGCCTAGACTATATATATTCATTCCTGCTTTTGACACCCACTTCTCTAGTTTGTCATATCACCTGTCCACTGAAAGCTTGCTGTGGCTCTACACTGCCCAATAAGGGGCCGGGGAGATGGCTCAGTGGAATAAGTGCTTCCCTGGCAAGTGCAAGGGCCTGAGTTCAATCCCTGGTTCTGGAGGAAAAAAAAAAAAAAAAAAAGCCCAACAACATTGATTCCTCAGTGTGCCAATTAAGAGCTTTGTCCTCTAGTCCTAATCTGCTTTTCTGAACTGATCTTTTATCCTATTAAGATGAAAGCTTCTTAAGAGACAAGAACCTCATGTTTTCATCTGCATCTCTACTGTTCACTTAATGACTTGAACCCATCCTCCTCCTGCCCCCTGCCTGCTGCCTGGCATCACATGACCCTGCACCATGCTTCCCTCTGCATGCCCTCACTTATGCTCTGGTCGTCCTGTCAGGTGTCTCCTCCATGAGGTCTTGATTCTCCCAGTTCACAGTGCTCCCCACTTTAGGAACTTCAGGTGCACCTTCAGCAACATTAGCAGGAGAACCTACCTCACTCCCTCCATCTCCCTTGCCTTACAGAAGGCAAGGGTCAGACTGATCATGCCTGGAGCCCTGGAGGTGCTTGCTGCACAACAATCTCCATATAACAGATAACAGGCAAATTATTTATTTTGTATAAATTACACTAGGAAATGAAAAACCATTAAAAAGGAAGATAGCAAGGTGTGGTGATGCAGGCCTGTAATCACAGCATTCTGGGAAGCTGAGGCAGGATTGCAAATTTGAACCTCGTTGGGCAACTCAGTAAGATCCTGTCACAAAGAAAAAAATGAGTGTATGTGGGGTGAGATGTAGCCCAGTATGAAGGTCCTGGGTTCAATACCTAGTACCAGAAAACAAAAAAGATAGGCTAACTGGAAGATCATGAAAGACAAATGTATATATGCTCAGATAAAAAGACAAATAGAACACATGATGTGAGACCATTTGTATTTTAACCCTTCCCAGAAGTGTTTTTTTTTTTGCTCCGAATGCCTTCAAGGCATGACTGGCTGTCTTGTGTTGTGGGGGATCGAACCACAGCAACCTGAGCCTGACTGCATTGTTGAAGCAGCCACTTAAAGAACTGAGCTAAGGGGCAGGCCCCCTTAACCCTTCCCAAATGTGTGCACATGCTTAGAAAAAAGAACTAGAAGTTGGGCGCAGTGGCACAAGTCTACAATCCCACCAAGACCACAAAGTCAAGCCCAGTCCAGAAAACTCAATCAGACTGTTTCAAAAAATAACACATGTATATTTAAATTTATTTATTTATCTATTTATTGTGGTACTGGGGATTGAACTCAGGACCTTGTGCTTGCAAGGCAAGCACTTATTCTACGGAGCTATCTCCCCATAAATTTATATAATTATATAAATTATATATAAATAATTTTAGAGAAAGGGAGAGACACAAAGAGGGGAAAAAAGAACAAATCAAGGTAGATTATGTACAAGCACAATCCCTATGATGAATGTGAGCATTATATATACCTAAATTGTACCAAGAAACTTAACTTGGGCAAGCAGCAAAACAGACAAGAGAGGAGACCTGGAATGGTGAAGCAGGCTCCCAAAGGCTGCTAGGAGTTTAGGCTGCCACGGGGGCAGAGCAGAGGACCGTTCGGCAGGTGCTCTGTGTACTCATGTGCTGTCTGGACCTTTCACAGTAACATTTAGATTACAAAGACTGTAATTAAATACAATATTGAATAAATATGACATATAGCAGTACAAGGGCATATCCAAGGGGTGCTGCGGGGGAAACGAAATCTCGTGGTTAGGGAGGTTCTCGGCAGCTTCGTGTAAGGGCAAACAAACTACATCCTGCAGTAGGCTTTTTCAGAACAAGAAACGGTAAAAGGCAGAGGGCCAGATGTCTGAAGAAGTGAATGTACTGCCAGGTGTGGTACTACACACCCATAATCGCAGCACTTCGGAACTCTGGCAGGAAGATCGAAGTGAGTTACAGGTCAGACTGGGCTATCGATCCATACCCAGATCTTGTCTCAAAAAACAAAAACAAATGAACAAAAGGACCAGGATGGCTAAAAAGCTTGGCCCAAAAGGAAACGTTATGTGGAGAACCTTGCCTGTCAGACTCTGGCTGTGGGAACACTGGAAGGTTCTGAGCAAAGGGTAGCCATATGGACTGCTCTGACAGAGCAGGACCTCAGCGGCACCACAACAGGAAGGGGGGATGGCCGGGGTGGCAAGGACAGAGCTACTGCAGACAGTATCTGCCACAAAGCATGGCACAAGCCTGCCTGGACTCAGGAGGTCCCAGGGAAGGCACTTTTCCCTTGGACTGGGTTAAGAATCTGAAAGAGAAAGACGAGATGTTTCTGGGAAAGGGACGAGACCAGACCCAACCCTGGCTGGAGCTAGGAGTCATCAGAGAGCACTAAGCGATGTCTCCAGGGCAAGCAGCAGACCCTGCCATGGCTCTGCAGCTCCCAAGATTCTCGGGGCCCACGTCACAGCAGCCTGGGCAATAACGAACTCATTCACCCATGCATCTGGCAGGTCCGTGTGCCTTTCAGCTGCCAGATCAAAAGCACGGCAGCTTTCTGTTTCCTCTTGGTGCTGCAATTGCACAAGAGCTCGTGTGTCTGCTGTGTGGTCAGTACATGCTGAGAGGTGCACCCAGCCCCTGGAGGTGCCACTGGGCACCCATTCGTCCAGCTATGAAGCGGCCACCCTCCCCCTTACGGAAGGCTCATCCTGTCAATGCAAGAGCTGGCAAAGACAAAAGCATCTTTCTCCCCTTTCTACTTGCTAAACTCAAGAAAGTAGCCATCTTTACCAGATTCCAAACTTGGAAAGAAATCCCTGTGCTGAGCCCATAGGCTGGGCCTTCCAATGCCAGGAGTTCCTGGTGGGCACTCATCTCTATTCCAGAACAGCTCTCCATATGCATGGGGGGAGGGGAAAGTGGGAGGGCGTGATGGGGTTGCAGGAAGCAGGTTCATTCCCAAGCTTCCTGCCTGGCTGGAAGTTGGCTGCAGACCACAATCATCACACCTGCTACAGGAAGAAGGGAGCCGCAAGCTAATTTTTGCCTTCAGTGTCTTCTCCACCCTACCAGCTCTGAAGCCAAAGTGGCTCCTGAGGGTCCACTTACTCTTCTGTCGCACGTGACCCATCTCTCCTTTTGACAAGACAGTTTCAACCCCATTTCCTCACTTCCACACTTGTGAATCTGATCATCCTCTACCACATTCAAGACTTCCATTCCCCCTGTCCTAATTCTCATCACCCCTCTGAGGAACTCAAGTGATTTTTACCTACACCAGCAACCAAGATCAGGAAACCTAATTAGGAAGAAAAACTTGCAGCAAAAGGACAAGCATTGAGACTTCTGGTGTTCCGGTGAACAGTGTGACACTGTACCTCTTCAGCACTGGCTTAGAAAGCGAGATCCAGAGGGTGGACGACAGCTCAGCGGACTAAGTGCCTGCTTCAGCAAGCGCAGGGGCCAGGGTTTGATCCTCAGCACCATATGCGCACCAGCCCTGCCCCTGGGGAAGCTGAGGTGGCCACCTAGTTGGGGGTGGTGGGGCACCCCTATAATCCCAGCACTTGGGAGGCTGAAAACAGGAGGATCACTAAGAGTCCAAGCTACATAGTAAGACCCTGTATCAAATATGTAAAAAAGAAAAGAGATCCAGGCCAGGCGAGGTGGCACATACCTGTCATCCCAGCACTCAGGAGGCTAAGGTAGGAGGACTGCACTAAGTTCGAGGCCAGTCTGGGCTATAAAGTGAGTTGAAGACCAGTCTGAACTGCTCAGTGAGACCCTGTCTCAACAAAAAAAGAAAGAAAGAAAGAAAGAGAGAGAGAGAGAGAGAGAGAGAGAGAGAGAGAGAGAG